CAGAGTCCCCAGCTCCAGCAGCTCCAGTCTCAGCGCTCCCAGAACAACCAGTCCCGGCAGCTCCAGTACCCCCAGTACGAGCACCTCCAGGACGAGCAGCTCCAGCACCCCCAACTCCAGCCGAGCCACGAGGACGGCGAAAGCGCCGGACGTACCAGTCACGAAGCTGCTGCGGTGTGAGAGACTGCTCAGCACCCCGAACCGGAGCACCCCCAGACGCAGCAACCCCAGGCTCCGTAGGCTCAGTAGCAGCACCCCCAGGCTCAGTACCCTCAGGCGCAGCACCCCCAGGCTCAGCACCCCCAGACTCCGTACACGCAGGCTCAGCACCCCCAGTCGCAGCACCCCCAGGCTCAGCACCCCCAGGCGCCGAACTCTCAGGCACAGTACCCTCAGCTCCAGCACCCGCAGTCCCAGCACCCGCAGCCCCAGCACTCCCAGGCCCAGCACCCGCAGGCTCAGCACCCCCAGGCTCAGCACTCCCAGCAGCACCACCTGCAGCAGCACCTGAGTCACCTGTGACCTCGACAGGCTCAGCGACGGGAGGAGGGTCTACCTGAGAGACACCTGAAGGAGCAGGACCCTGAGGGGGAAGGGGGTCTACCGGAGGGGGACCAGGAGCAAGGAAAAGCGGCGGGGGAGGGAGGGGGGCAGTGCGGTAGGGGAAGAGACGGTAAAAAGGGACCGACTCGTCAAAGGTGACGTCCTGAGAGGCGAAGACCCGGCGCGAGGTGGGGTGGTAAAACTGCCAGCCAGGCGCGTCAGGGACAAAGCCAAGGAAGACACAGGGAAGCGTGCGGGAGGAGAGCTTGTCCGCGGACGTATCGCGGACAAGGGCACGAGCACCCCACACCCGGAAGCGCGACGCATCGCCAACCTCCCCCGTCCAACGCAGTGTGGGCGAGGTCTCCGGCAAGGAGACACGGGGCCAGAGGTTGAGCTGATGCGCGGCGTACCGGACAGCAAACGGCCACAGAAAATGGGGAGCCGCCGCGTGGACCAAGGAGGTACGAGCGACCTCCATGACCAGGCCAATGCGGCGCTCAGCAACCCCATTCTGCTGTGGGGAGTCCGGAAGCGTGAAGGTCTGCTCGATGCCCTCCGCCTGACAGAAGGTCCTCAAGAGGTCGGAGGAAAACTCACCACCTCTGTCAGAGTGCAGACGCAGGACAGGAAGATCCGTCCGGAAACGGCGGCGGAGCTGGAGACGAACTGTGCGGATCCAAGGGATCAGAACAGCAGGGACCTCACCCTTGGTGCGCAAGGGGAAGACCGTGGTGTAACGCGAGTAGTCGTCGACAACCAGCAAAAAGTACCGCTCACCGCCCTGACCACGAACGCGGGCTGGGCCCCACACGTCCAGGTGGAGGGTCTGCAGAGGAGCCTCTGTCGGGGGGAACGAGGAGGAGTGAGGAGCGGCGCGCTGCCGCCCCTCGACGCAAGGAAGGCAAGGTGGCGCAGGCGAGGCAGGGAGGGGAGGGAGGGACCTGGGAAGACCAGACACAAGGTGGCGACGGTGCATGCCACGGAGGCGTGGCAAGGAGGGGTGACCCAGGCGGTGGTGCCAGAGAAGAGTCTGGTGCGACAAGGAACGACACTCACAGGCGTGGGCTACCAGACCTGACGCGGACACCTGACCGACAGCAGCGACCTGAGGAGACGCAGTGGTCAGTGTGTAGAGACTCGACCCCGGCTGACGGGTAAACGTAGCCAGGTGACGGCCGGTCCTGGAGCACGTGAGGATCGCCACACGCTGTCCTCCAGGGGTAAAGGTGTCAACCCACTGATCCTGGATGACAGCGTTGCTCACCAGGTTCGTCGAGAATGAGGGGAGGTGGAAACCCGACAACGAGCCAGACGGAACCGCTGGACACGGGAGCACAGTGGTGGACCGTGCAAGGACTGGGCCCCCAGAGGGGTCAGCCAAGGAGACTGGGACCGGTGCAGGAAGCGGTGTGAGCTCAGTACGGTCACGAAAGAAACAGCGGGAAGCACCTGAGTCAAGGGTGAAGGTGTGACAGGCCTCAGCCGGTGCAGTACCTGAGAGAGCAGTCTCTGTGGGTGCTGTACCTGAGAGAGCAGACTCACAAGCAGCAGGGACAGTACCGGAGGGAGCAGCCACAGAGGGCACCATACCAGAGAGAGCAGACTCACTAGTACCTAGGGCAGCGGGCTCTATACCTGGGTCAGGCGGCACACACAAGTAACAGTCTCCCTCGGCACTAACAGTCAATGCATACATGGCAGCAATAATAGCATCATAGTCAAGAGCAAAGATATCAACACCAGCCCTCATCAGCTCCGCCCAGCGGGGGCGCTCAACCTCCTCGCCCATCTCCTCACGCCAAGCGTCGTCAAGGCGGGAGAAGCAGCGGTACGGGGTGTGGAACCTCCCACACGTCTGTCCCTTGCGGTCACCTGTGCGAATGACATAGGAACAGCGGACACTGCCCCCCGACGTCCCACGCTGAGCAAGCCACTCACGAAGCTGCTGGGTCGTCTGGGGACGCTGCTGCTGCTGGGAGCTCTGGCCCGAGCCAGTGCCTCCACTCCGACCTCCGCCGCCACCACTACCTCCGCTCCGACCGCCACCGCCGCCACCGCCGCCACCGCCGCCGCCGCCACCACCGCCACTGCTCCCTCCGCCGCCCCCGCCTCCGCTGCCGACCCCACTCCCACCAGCACTCCCGCCACCGCTCCCTCCAGCACCGCCTCCCCCCCCACCTCCCCCACCTCCTCCCCCCCCAGCGCCACCCCCGCCACCCTTGCCCCCCTTGCCCTTGCCGGTGCGGCGCCTCCCACCAGGAGCAGAAGCAGCGCCAGCAGACTCAGCACCAAGGAAGTCAACAGCAGCAGCAGTAGCGTAGGAGGGAGCGAGGGGAGAGGGAGAACACCCCTCAAAGATGGGGGTGCGAGGAGCGCCACGAGCAGCACCGACAGCTACAATGCTCTTCTCGGCCGCTAGCAGGTGCTCCTCTAGGAGGGCGACTGTGAGCTCAGTGGGACAGCGAGCAAGGAAGTGGTCTCGAACTGAGCTGAGGGTGTCAGGGAGACGGGTGACTATGAAGTGGAGTGTCCAGTATAGTGGAGGGGGGTTCTTAGCGCAGAACTCGGTGGGAAGGGCGGCACGCAGGCGAGCATCACTAGTGCGAAGGTGGGTGATAAGATCGGCGACTGTAGCAAAGGTGGACAGGTCAGGGAACAGGTAAGGCAGCATGAGGCGGCTAAGCTCGGCTGTGGCAGGCGAGGAGTAGCGAGCAACGACAGCGTCGTACAGGGCCTTAGCGGATTTGCAGTCGCCAAAATGCTCTAGCTCAGCTAACGGCAGGTGACTGCGAATGGCTAGGCGAGCAGCTGCGTCACGAGTCTGCCAGTGGGAACGAACACTAAGCTCAGCTGTGGCAGGAGGGGCAGGCGCAGCACCAGACGCGTAATCATAGAGCGACACATGCTCCTTGCTATCGCTCAGGAGGAACAGCTGCAGGTCATCTAGCCAAGCGGTGAACCGGACAAGGCGGCCCTCAGCATCGAAGGACAGCACGCGGATGGAAGCCATCGCGACAGCACGTCAGAGCAAAGCAAGCTGCCGCAGCAGAGGAAGGCTGGCGCTACGGGCAGGCGGCGCTGCAAGCAGGTAGCTCGGTGGGGAGCGCGGCGGGCGGGCGGCGCTCTGAGCGGGCAGCGTGGCAGGTAGCGCGGCGGGCAGGCGGCCCTGCAAAAAGGCAGCGCGACGGGCGGGCGACGCTGTGCGCGGGCAGCGCGGCGGACGGGCGGGCTACGAAGCGGGCAGCGCGGTGGGCAGGCGGCGCCGCAAGCGGGCAGCACGGCGGGCGGGCGACGCTGCGAGCGGGCAGCGCGGCGGGCGAGGGCGCTAACGAGGGGCGCTAACGAGGGCGCTAACGAGAGGCGCGCGAGGGCGCTAACGAGAGGCGCGCGAGGGCGCTAACGAGGGTGCGCGAGGGCGCTAACGAGGGCGCGCGAGGGCGCTAACGAGGGCGCACGAGGGCGCTACGAGGCTAGGGCACGGGGTAGCGTGGTAACCGCATGCGAGCGGTGGTGGGCCCTAAAAAAAACGGTCGGTAGGTCCTAGGGACCTCCTGCTCTGAATACCATTTCAACAGGACTAAGCAAGAATGAATGCATTGAATGGAAGAGTTGGGTACAAGTAGCAAACCCTAGTTGGGGTTGTACCCCATATTGGCTACTCCACTACAGCCTACCAACATAACACAGTTTAACACCCAGCAGTACACACTTCGAATGTGGAGAGCATTTCGATCCCCGCTAACATAACACGCACGAAATATACAGGATTGTACGAAATGCAGCACTGAGCTGGCAGGATACTGTCAAATGTAGCACTGACATTTCAGGATACCTCACCCTGTGCAGCCCTGACAATTCAGGGCAAATTCTGATTTCCTAAAAACTGCCCTGAGGCCTCAGTGTACCCCCAAACGAATCTGAGGGCCTGACATACAGGAAGGCCCCGAAAATTTGCCCTGACAAATCAGGGCATTTTAAAAGATTTTAGAAAAGTGCCCTGAGGCCTCAGGATGCCCCAATTCCTAGCACGGGCCCTGTTGCTGCTGCCGAGCCTTTACCGAGCCACGCAATACTGTGATAGGGCTGTGGTTACCCCTGGACTGTGAAGCTATCGAACAAGGCCTATGTGAGTGGTGAACAGTGCATATGGTTGGCGATCATCGCGTTAGTTCTGTTTTTGGGCACTCTGGTTCCGTTGTCGCAAGACGATTGCCTGGGGTTGCGAGAGTTTCTTCAGAACAAGTAGGGTAACCCTGTTTTTTGCGATTACAAGTTCAAGAATCTTGAACTTGAAAATTACCATGCTGTACTTGGGCTTTAAGAAACTTAGGCTAGGAATGTGTGATTAAATCAAGAGGGGGGTATAAGAAGAATGTCGAGAAGAATTGTGTACCCCCTAGTGCTAACCCCCATTTAACCTAGATAACCTAAACATGGATATAACTTGACATTAGCTATAGCAGCTGAAGCAGCATATTGTACAGGAGCTGCGTCCACACATCCAGAGGGCCAGGAAGACAGTAGTGAAGGCAATCATTAGGTGGGAGCATGTGGCCATCCCCTCGTAACCTCGTCATGGGATCTACATCCATGAACACACCCCCTACAGCCTCCACCATCTGCTTTGCGAGCTTGTTCTGTCGGCCAAACTCCCCCCAGTGAAACGGCAACGATGCTGGGTCCTGCGGCTCCTTGAGAGGAGCGGTGATGTTCTCACAGTGCGCATGCCCAGGAGGTGTGCTCCTGTAGATGATCAGAATGTCTGGTGCCACCTCTCGCACTCTCGTAAGAGTCCTGTTTAGCTGCTCTGTGAACTCCTCATCCTCCACATAGTGTGCCCCGCGGTTCAGCACAAGCACAGCAGTGTCACTCCCCGGAAGCACATCGTTGAACCAGGGGAAGGAGACCAAGCGGGGGAAATCGAGGTGGCGTGTGCGGTTGGTGTGCAGCACGTCATTGCGCACCATGGCGATGGTGGTGTTACCGTACGACACGCTGTCACACAGCATGTGCCCATGCATGTCTCGCATCACCGACTGCTGCACCTCTGCTGCGCACACTGCTAGCTTCGACTCCTGCACCTCGGCAGGCAGGGGCGGTACCAAGGACTGGGGAGCAGCAGACAGGGGTTCACCACTGCCCCCATCTCCTTCATCGCCACTCGTCCCGCTGTCCCTACCCATCATGCTAGCGCTGCCTGTGTCACCTGCGCGCGCAGCCCGGGCGCCGGCAGCAGCTGCGGCAGCGCACATGCGCATGTGGTTGCGGAAGGAGAGGAACGCCAGGGAGGTCAGCGAGTCGCCCACCATGAGGATCTTCCCCCGCCCGTTCGTCAGCCCCGCGGCCAGCTGCGCGCACTCCACGTCCCGCCACCCCACCCCGCACCCGCCCTCCGCCCCGCGCGCGGGTAAGCGCCACCTATACTTGACCGCAGGGCGCACCTGCCACTCCTCCGCCCCCCTGCCCTCCATCACCACCCTGTCCGCCGCTGCGTACGCCACGTGCGCGTACCTCCTGCTGCTTCTGCTGTTGCCACCCGCTGTCTCTCCAGCAAATGCGATGCCACGAGGAGCAGACGACGCTCTGTCAGCAGCAGGCAGGGGCGCGCCCCCGCTAGATGCCGCAGCAGCTGCTGTCGGTGCGGCGCTGGCAGCACGAGTGGCATCGACGGCCGCTGTTTCGGCCCTATCCTCCTCATCCCCTTGGAAAGCTGATTCGGCGTCAGCGCCACCAGAGGGAGTGGCGGATGGAAACGCGTCAACGGACAGCAATCTGCGGAGCGGGGGGGAAAATGGCGCGGAAGGCGGGGCCGGCGCTTGCGTCGAGCTCGGGAGATTGGCGGACGCGCTGGCGGCATTGGGGGGGGGTGCACCGGCGCTAGCCGCAGCAGCTGCGGGAGATGGTTGGGAGGTGTGCGCGGCGCGATTCTTGCTGAGCCACGATTGGTCGCACTGCCAGCCGCCGTGCTGGCCAGCGACGGCCCACGGCAGCAGACGTGGCGTGCTATCGAATTGCCACGTGCCCCTCTCGTTGACGCACGCGAAACTGCGCGAAAACGCGAGTGCAGCGTCGGGGGAAGTGAGGCGGGAGCCGGGGATCGAGGAAGGCGCAATGTATTCCTGGTGGCCGCCGCCGCCGCCGCCGCCGCCGCCGCCGCTGCTGGCCATGGCGGGAACACTGACGGCACCTCCGCCGCTGCTACTTCTGCTGCTTCTGCCGAGGCTCCAGATGCTGCTGGTGCCACCGGCGGCGTTGAACGTGACGGGCGCAGCGAGAAGAGTGGAAATGCTGGGATTGCGCACGACCAAGGCGCACCACGCGATTGCCATAAGGCCACCGAATAAGATTAGCACGTGGGTGAGCCGCGTGAGCACGTGCGCGACGCCCGTGAGCACGTGCTCCGCTGGGTGATTCTCGGAGTAGAACCCGTTGCCCTTGCCGTGCGCCCCGGGCAGTAGATACGCCATAGGCCGAGGCGCGAGGGCAAGCGAGTTCGTTTCGTTGTCGAGATGTGAACGGGAAGGGGGACGAGGAGCGCGACGGTGAAAGGCGAGGCGGAACGGTGTAAGGGTGAAAGAGGGAGACGGAGAAGGGGGGGGAATAGTCAGCGCCGCCAATGTAATTGGCTGAGATCCAAGGGGAAGCGAGGATCGCGAGGGTGCAAGCTACGGAAGTCCATCTCTTGAACTGCGCGACAGGATACTAAGCAGGTTTTCGCAACACGGGAATTACATGTTACTGATTCTCCCCACCCTCTCCGAGGGCCTTGGTCGGCAAAACTAACACGTGAAGTGAAGCAACGTCTGGAGGTAAGAAAGCATCTGTTTTGCGCACCCAAGAATTGTCTGGTGTGCTGTGCCTGACGCTAATCTGTTAACTAGCTTCTTTGCTAGGTGGCGCGGGGCGTGACACGCCGAGGAGGTATTGAACTGCCATCTCATCTCATCTGCAACCCAGCGTTCGTTTTGAACTGGCCCATTCCGCCTCATGCAGCTGCTGTCGCTTTGCCACTGTGTGGCTTGGGATTCTATTGTGCTGCGGGCTCGAGCCATTCGAGGTGTGTGCTGGAAACAAAAACCCCGATTGAATGCCTTGCCGTGTGGGTGTGCCAAGTGTACAGCACAATCGCGAGGGGGGGAGAGAGGAGGGGTGATTGGGGGGAGGTGGTTGGTGGAAAGGGAGTGTGGTGATGAAGTGAAGGGCAGGTGGTGGGCGCTGCGATGGTCAGGACTGGGGGGGGAAAGATGGTGGAGCCCACGCGCGTGGCGCCAGGCTGCGCAGCTGAGGAGGACGAGGAACGCGAAGCAAATGCTCCGAGACATCGCGGAAGAGGGGAGGGGTATGGGGGTTCAGGGGGAATGGGAAATGGGAAAGGAGGGCGCATTGCCCCCCAAGAACTCTTACAAGCCAGCTAGCTTACGTGTCGCCTGCCTGTAAAAGACGACCTTGTAAGGGGCGCTCTGATGGGAAAGCGGCTCGTTGGCTGAATCTGCATGAACACGACATACCACAAGGTTATAATCATGATTCTATTTAACTTAAATGGCAATTTTTTTTCGGTCGCATAGCAACCCTATAAATCGGTTTCATTTTTGAGGATATCATTTCAAGAGTGTTTTTCAAAGCACTCTTTGGAGCATCTGCTTGAACATTTTTTTGAGACCTTGATCTGTTGATAGGAAATGGTCCCGGCCTCGCTTAGAGGAAGCAGACTTTGCAATCGGGGGCGCGCAGAAGTCGACGTAGACTGTGCGCAGAAGTCGACACAGACTGCGCGCAGAAGTCGACGCAGACTGCGCGCAGAAGTCGACGCAGACTGCGCGTAGAGTTCGACGTCGATAGCCTGCAGAGTTCGACGTCGATTGCCCGCAGAGTTCGACGTCGACTTGTCCGTAGAGTTCAACATCGACCGTCCGCAGAAGTCGACGTCGACCGCCCGCAGAACTCGACGCGGAGGTTGACGAAGTTGTCTGGTCGACAAAGTTTGGTAGAGGTGTTGGTCGAGCATCGTCGTAGAGGACTCTGGTCGACGAGCTCGCAAACGACACTTGTCAAGATTCTAGGCAAGAATGGGAGCAGTAGGCTTAGGAGCCATAGGCTTAGAGGCCAGTAGCTAGGGCTTAGGGTTTCTGAAAGAGAATTGAAGAAGGAAAAGGGGTTTGGACTAGGAGCAGCAGGATACAAATAGGAAACCCTAATGGGCTGTACTCACTATAGAGTACCCCACTGCAGGCTAGACAAACATAACATTCTGACACACCCCCATAGCCAAAGTGGGGTGTAATCAGCACAATTAACAGGCAGAGCAATAGTTCACAATTATAAGCAAAACTAGAGGCTATAACAGAGGGCAAATGAGGAGGAGGAGAGACTGTGAGGGCGAGAAGATGGAAGGCGCCGATTGAAGCTGCAGACACACGGGCAACAGGAGCGGCGCGCACAGTGGCTACCGAGCGCACGAGGGCACCGGACTACGGGAGTATCTGGCTCCGCGGCTACGACGAGCACACACAGGAGCAACGGACCCACAGGCGACTGGCGAAGCAGGCTCGCTGGGCTACCGAGAGCACGACGGCTCCGTACTACAGGCGCTGCTGACGTCACGACGACTACCTCCACTCAACCTCCCCCAACTGTCCCACACCCCTTTCACACACCCCCTGCTGAACCCCTGGCTCCACTCACACTCCACCCCCCAGGCACCACTCCGACGGCTCCCACACATCCACCCCCCTCAGCAGCAGCTGCAGCAGTGGGAGACAGAGGAGGAGGGGGAGCCGGGAACGGGTCACACACCCATCACCCCCACACTCGCCACCCCCAAACCCTAACAAAGGCAGCAGGGGGGGGGGGGGGGGGGGCGGGCAGCAGCTCGAGAGAGGGCGGCTCCCCAGGGTGTTTCGGCGGGCGACGGGAGGGGCTGACGCGCGACCCCCCAGGGCGCCACGACGGGCGAGGGGAGGGGGCTGCGCGCGGGCCCCCAGGGCGCCGCGACGGGCGATAGGAGGGGCTGACGCGCGGCCCCCATGGCGCCACGACGGGCGACGGGAAGGGGGGGAACGGCGCGCGGGCCCCTGGGGTGCCGCGACGGGCGACGGGCAGGGGGGGAACGGCGCGCGGGCCCCTGAGGTGCCGCGACGGGCGACGGGCAGGGCGGCGCGCGGGCCCCCAGGGCGTCGCGACGGGCGACGGGAAGGGGGGGGGGGGGGGGACGGCGCTCGGGCCCCCAGGGGCGCCGCGACGGGTGACGAAACCGCCACGCGCCCCGAGCGCGTGGCGGGAAGAAAAAACAATGTCACGCGCCACGGGGCGCGCGACAGGCAGTACAGCAGCAGCGGAAGCATACGGGCCCACAGGCCAGGAACTAAGTAGCTCTGATACCATGTCAAGATTCTAGGCAAGAATGGGAGCAGTAGGCTTAGGAGCCATAGGCTTAGAGGCCAGTAGCTAGGGCTTAGGGTTTCTGTAAGAGAATTAAAGAAGGAAAAGGGGTTTGGACTAGGAGCAGCAGGATACAAATAGGAAACCCTAATGGGCTGTACTCGCTATAGAGTACCCCACTGCAGGCTAGACAAACATAACATTCTGACAACACTAGTCAACGAGCTTGTAGAGGATGGTCATCGACGAGCTCACAGAAGATGCCGGTTGACGAGCCTTGTCGAGGAGCATTGGTCGACGGACTCTACTCGACGAGCTCGTCGCAGCGAACGCTGTTTGATAGAGCATCGTCGAGCTGGACGACGAAAGTCGCTCGATTGCAAAATCCAACGATTGGGCGTATGTCGCCATGAGGTTCTCGTGGAGTCGACCTGCGGAACGGCATCACGTGCCCGACGGTGCACGGCTGGCAAAACCATCGACATGTGTTCTACGTGGCATCTGCGCAATGTGCCTGGCGACGCGACCGTCTACCTGCACCTACTTAGTAGGTGCGCACATGCGCAAAAGTTCACCAGCCTCTGCAGCGCTGGCAGACTGCTGTGGTGCAATGCTTTAGCAAGCCGCTCTTCTGCTGGGCTGGCAGAGTTCGCCCTGCAGAGGGCTTGCTAGGTGTTGAAACGTCATTCTAGCTATATCGAATTGCATGCCTCATTGTAAATTCAATGTTCTCTCAATTCTTAGTAAAACTCTTGCCAAATTTCTCTATGAGGACGCGGTACAAAGTTGTTCAAGACGTGTTCAAAAGGTGTTCATCCGAAAGTTGAAGCGGGTTACCCTGTTAACTACTGATGTACGGTACAAAGTTGTACCACCCGAGGTCAAGATGTCAGCACGTCTTGACCAACATGCTGACGAACGAGGGTTCATACGTTTTGAACAGCACGTTCGTCAGCTCGGTGTACATGAACCGCATCGCTGATCAAGACTGCTGGCGATAGCAACTTATCGCTAGTACCACGTTTTCGCCGAGGCGCATTCTTCCCACAAAACACACATTTCCCCGCGCATTACGCGCTGTGTTGGCAACAATGCAAGTACAGCACAACAAAACACAGCGCCTCGGGAAACCCGAGTGTGAACCAAAATGCGCGCAACACAAAAGAATCTCCAACGTCATGCACTGATGTCTAGCACGATTATAAAACAACTAGCAAACATTCCAATTTCACAGCCGCCTAGCCAGTCATGGAATCCGACTCTAGTCCAACTCCTAGCGACAATGTTGATGCGCAGTCACCTTCTAACCTGCTCGACACCATGCTCACCTTCTAAATCCTCTTGAACAGCTGTCTTGAACAACTTTGTACCGCGCCCTGAACACAGCAAGTAGTGAGAACGCTAGTACAACGCTACGATTACCCGCACAACCCTGTGCCTTCCTCCGTAGACCACTACCGTTGTGTGTCAACCACGAAGTCCCAGCAAGCGTAGACGATATCCTGCAGGCGCGGTTAGATGATGTTCAGGCACGCCACGCGGCTAGCGAGTACGACGGAGTGAACGTGAAGGTTCTACTCCTTGGAACCCGCGTGCAGTGGGCGCGCGAGCATCCAACGACCCGTACTGAGGCGGATGGTCTGCCTGCCACTCTTCGATCGGCACTCAACGAAGGTAGCGTCGATGCGAGAGTCGACGGCGGAGACCAAGTCGGCCGTAACGAGAGCATGAGGAGGATGAATGGAGTGATATGGGCCGCGGTCGACCGCGGATACGGGCAGCTCGC